AAAAAAAAAAAAAAGAAACATATGGAAGCTTTTACCTTGGTGGTGGGTTGCAGGGAGGAAACGATCATTTGTTGATTACACATTTCTGTATTACATGTATTACTTCAGTAACTTGAGAATATTTCTTTCAAAAACCTCTCGATCTGGGGCACCTGGGTGGCTCAGTCGGTTGGGCTGGGCGTCTGCCTTCTGATCTGGTCGTGATCTCCCGGGCTCCCTGCTTGGTGGGGGGCCTGCTTCTCCCTCTGCCCCTCCCCCCCAAACTCACTCTCTTGCGTTCTGTCTGAAATGAATAAATAAAATCTTTAAAAATAAAAAAATAAAACCTCTCTCTGGTTTCAGCATTTCAGTTCATTCTTTCATAATTGAATGCAGTCAGCCACCTTAAATCTGGTTCACATTAGATACATCAGGATAATTTGGGGACATTTGCCTTTAGTTTCATCTTTCTTTTAGTGTTTTTTGTTGTAGGGCCGGTGTTTTTTTTTTGATTGGTTTTATTTTTATTTATTTTTTTTAAAGATCTTACTTGACAGAGAGAGAGCACAAGCAGGGGGAGTGGCAGGCAGAGGGAGAAGCAGGCTCCCTGCTGAGCAAAGGAGCCTGATGCAGAACTCTATTCCAGGACCCTGGGATCATGAACTGAGCCGAAGGCAGTTGCTTAACCAACTGAGCCACCAAGGCGCCCCTTGATTGGTTTTAATATTTTCACTCTAGTTTTTCTTTTCTTTCTTCTTCTTTTTTTTAGTAATCCCTACACCCAACATGGGGCTCAAACTCATGACCCCAAGATCAGGAGTCGCATGCTCTTCCAACTGAGCCAGCCAGATGCCCCCACTTTTTAGTTTTCAGTTAATTTTTATAAATTTTTTTTTTTTTTAAGCAGTAGACTTCTTTTTTAAAATGAAATCTGATTTGGGTGCCTTATGTGTGAAACAACTTTCATGGATCTGTAGTTCTCAATATAGTTTAAAAACCACTGTAGTACAATACTTAGGTAATGTTGTAAGTACATCCTGACAAAGACCGTGTTACTGCTGACAGGACACTTCTGAGAAGCAGGGGGTAGCATCATGCCGTTATTTGCAGCTCGAGATGTTTGTGTCTCGTGTGAACACTGCATTTCATACAGGAAAAGCATTCAGGGGTGTTGGCCCCCAAATGTCGTTTGCTTAAGAAATTAATATAGAGAATTGCATCTTTAATCAACTACTAGACTATGTGACAATATAAATGTCATTATTAGGAAGGAAATGGCACTGCTGGTTGGCTGGTGTTCATGAAGGTTTTAGAGAGTTCATCCGACTTAAGATAGTTTGACAGATTGGATATTTAAAAGTTTGTAATTCAAAATAACCAGCATAACCCCATTACCTGTTTACATAAATAACATTTTTTTTGTGAAAAATAACTTTTCTAAAACAAAAATAGTGAGAAGAACATTGTTTCACGGTTTTACAAATTGTCCTTAATGCTTGCCTAAGTAGAAGTTGGCAGAATTCTTGCATCTACTTTTGCATGTACTCTGTAAAAATACCACTGGTGCTGTGGCCTCAGGAGAGCTCATCTGTAAACTTAGGAGATAGGAGAGTAAAGAGGCAGATGCCATCTTGGTATGATAATGAAAATAGGTGTGACCCTCTGGAGTCCCTGAGCCAGGCATCCACACTTTGCAAACCATTGCGTCCACCATTCGAGAGCTGGAGGATTCCTGCTGTGTTGCAAATGCTCCATGAACTCTTTCTTTGCTTTGTTGCAGAGTCCTTTGGGCAGAATTATCCAGAGGTAAGAGTATAGTCTTTTTTTTTTTAAGAGTATAGTCTTATTGTGAATTTAGGAGTATGGTAACTTGCTAGCTTTTGTGTTTGAGCAGAAAATGTTATTTGATTCCCCCCCCCTGCCCATTTTCTTTGACTACAGAAGCTTTAAGTGCTATAATAAAGAACTCAGTGTTTAATTTTGAGGAGAGAGGAAATAGATAGGCAGTACTGGTGGGAAATCTCACCATCACCTTTTAATCTTAAGCAATTCATTTCCCAGTAAATTAAAAAAAGAAGGATTTTTTTTTCCTTCTTTTCCTTCTTTTCCTTATCCTTCAATACTTTGAAGGATTTTTCACAAACAGTACCATCACCTATACGTAGATTTTTTTTTTCTGTGTGCTTTTCTAGTTTCAATCAGTGTTTTTGCATAGTAATAATATGTATGCTCTAAGTGTGCTTTACTTTTATAAATGCAAAAATATTTTGTAATATTTGAAATGTGTTTCAAGTGTAGCCATTATGGTGATTTTAAATAGCTTGATACGAATATAAAATAATGTATTTGACTTCCCTAATGTTGCACATACAGGTTGTTCTAGGGGTTTTGTTTTAAATTATTTTTCTTGGAGTAAATCCCAAGAACTATGATTATTGGGTCAGTAGGATGACTCTTTTCAATGAATCTTGTTATATTTTGCCTAATTGCCGTGTACAGTGGGTACAAAGTCATACTGGTAATGTATGGGATGTATCACATCTGTTTACAAATATTTCCTTGTTTTGGCTAGTTTAATAGGTATAAGAACACACATAGAGTTTCTTTTGGTATACATCGTCATTTAAATTAAAAGAGAAGTGTCATAGGTGATAGAGAATCTTTAAGAAATAATTGGGTACCTGGTGGCATTGTCTATTTTCTTGTATTCATTTTAATTTTTAGGAAGCCGATGGAACTTTGGATTGTATCAGCATGGCCCTGACTTGCACCTTTAACAGGTGGGGCACACTGCTTGCAGTTGGCTGTAATGATGGCCGAATTGTCATCTGGGATTTCTTGACAAGAGGCATTGCTAAAATAATTAGTGCGCACATCCATCCAGTTTGTTCTTTATGGTAAGGAATTTTAATATTAATGTGTTGAATATGAGTTGAATTAGGGGGATGAATGGTGACTGTGAAATTGCCAGTCTCATTGTACTAGATATTTTAATACTTAGCATTTTAAATGTTCAGTCATTAGTAGTACAATTTCTCATAGCATCTGTAGACCTTGAAAAAAAATGCTGTCCTTGGAATACCTTTGTGGAGGAGAAATTGAGTGTACTTGTGGATCTGTATCAGGCTCTGTCTGAGAATATTTCAGTACTGAAATGAGATATTTACAAAAGTTTGCAGCTGTAGTAGTATTTGTGATATTGACCTTTCAATTTAGAATGGAAAGTCTTGATGAGGAGGGAAACTTGGAAGTCCTCTACTTCAGCTTTGTCCAGGTTCTTGAATTCCAGCAGTTTTAGTGATCGTAGGCATGTCTTTTCCTTCACTAAATTATAGTTAAGGCTTTCTGTCAAATAGATTGAGCTAAAATCTAGTGTAATATAAATTCCCATTGATTTCTTTCTTACTCTCTGGGACTACTGTGTTTGCTTTGGAAAGTTTTATTTTAGGGCAGCTCTTCTAAATGAACTTGGGGCCAAAAAAAGCACCTAATCAGATCTAGATTTTTTTTTTTAAGATTTTATTTTATTTTATTTTTTTAGAGAGAGAGCAAGCAAGTGCGCACAAGCAAGCTGGGGGAAGGAAGAACAGAGGGGGAGGGAGAGGAACAAGCAGACTCCACACTGAGTATGAGTCCCATGTGCGGCTCAATCTCACAACCCTGAGATCAGGACCTGAGCCAAAATCAAGAGTAAGACGTCCAACTGACTGAACCACCCAGGTGCCCCATAATCAGATCTAGATTTATGAAGCTTATTTCCTTTTGTGTAAATGGAAATGGCAGCTATATTGTAAAGCACTGGATTGGGAGGAGGCCTGAATCCCAGTCTAGGTTTGGCTGCTAATGAACTAGCTTTGGCCAAAACTTGTCTGTAATATGCAAAATGAGAGTACCAGCCACTCCCACCTGTTAAAAATAATGTGTTTGTTTTTATTGTAAAATAATGCATACTCATTTAGAACCTTATGTAAAATATAGCAAAGCAAAAAGAAGTACTAGTATCTCCCATAGTCCCACCACCCAAGTATTCCTACTGTAAAGATTTTAGTATGTTTCTGTATATAGTTTTTAAAGAGCAGAATTTGGGGGTGCCTGGGTGGCTCAGTTGTTAAGCATCTGCCTTCAGCTCAGGTCATGATCCCAGGGTCTTGGGATTGAGCCCCTCATCGGGCTCTCTGCTCAGCGGGAAGCCTGCTTCTCCCTCTCCCACTCCCCCTGCTTGTGTTCCTTCTCTTGCTGTGTCTCTCTCTGTCAAATAAATAAATAAAATCTTTAAAAAAAAAAAAAGGCAGAATTTGTAATCATGCTATGTTCTGTTTCATATTTTGCTTTTTTTCTCCCTAACACCGGACAGTTTCCTACTTGCATATCTCTAAAAACCTTTTTTATGGCTATATGTCTTCTCATGGATAAATTATAATTAACAGTTTTTTGCTAGTGTCTCTGCTACATGTTTAGTAAACGTCTTTGTGCATAAACCTTTTCACTTATACATTCATTCAGCAACGTTGAGCATGAATTGTGTAGCAGGTGCAGGTACTGAAGCTTTATGGTTCCTATACAAGAACTGTGTTTGAGATTTAGTGGAGGTGAAGGTGCAAAGGAAGAGATGATCCATGTACTGGAGGAGAACAGTGGTCAGGAAAGGCTTCCTAGGCAAGATAATTTCTAACCTCAAACTTGTGAGATATAGGTGTTTGCCAGTTGTATTCCAAGCAAAGGACGCTGCCCAGGCAAAGGTCCATCAGCTTCAAACAAGCACAATAAGATGGAGAACCGCAGGTAGTTCAAGATAGCTGGATTGTGGTGTGGGAGATGTGATAATGGCAAGAGCCAGTAAACTGAGATCCTTATGGAGGATGCTGTGTTACCATAGTATGAATTTGAACTTCATCTTGTAGGTAACTGTGAAGCCATTAAGACATTGTAGGAAAGAAAGTGATATGATGAGCTTTTTATTTTTAAAAAAATCTCTAGGACAGCATGTGTTAAAGAGATTGAAGAAGAGAGAATGAAGATAAGGGAAGTGCAGAGATCTTGGCTAGAGATGATGAGCACAGTGGCAGCAGGACTGGGGCTGAGCGGTGGGGAGAGGGCAGAAGTAAGAGTCCTGGTCATTAGTCAGATGAGGAGTCTGAGTGAAGTGCAGAAGTTAGGATGGTCCTTAGACTTCTGGTTTGCATGAAGATACGAATGTAAAATTGAGGGGGGAAATGTAAGTTTGAGATCATGGCTGTGTGTCTCCTGTTACTTTATTGCAAATATTTGTCTTATGAGTATCTTCCCTGCGAGATGGTAAGTGCTGTGATTTATGAACCTTGTTTGCTGTTTTACTGCTATAATCCCAGTTTCTGGTTTTTGTGTTTGTTTTTTTTCCCTGAGCTTCTAATTTTGTGCCTGCTTATGGAATTTGGAATTGTCAGATATATTAATATTATGTTTTTTAGTGGGAGAGCCCCTTTTACTTTTCACTTGTTAATAATTTCGTTTTCAAAATTAGAGTCCCTTCTATTTTAACAGAAATACAAGCTTATTGTGGGGAAAAGAGAAAAGGATATTATAGTACAAAAGGGCTTAAAGAAAAAAATGGAATGATAGCTAACATTCTGTTTTGTAGTCAGATTGCGCTGTAAGGCTTACAAGAACAGCAACGAAAGCTGTCCCTTGTTTCGCCCCACTCCATTATGGTCTGGTCCCCTGTCTGCTTTCATTTTTTTGTCTGTTTCTTCTGATATTTATCTCCATATTTCTAAATAACACGTGTATGTTACTTTTTCTTGGTTTGTTAATTTCAGAAATTGTCCATGGACATACTGTTACACCGTATGCAAGTTTTAGCTCACCCTCTTACCCTCCTATCATTCACTGAAATGGGGTGGGTCACTGGATTTTTTTTGTGAATCCTAACAGAAGGGCATCTTCAGGCCTCTTTTTTTTTAGGTTCGCATTCTCTAGAAGGATCTTCTACTTGCCTTTCTGAGGGGTAAGCATGACTGCAAGTGTTCTAGAGCTGGTGGGAGAGAGGCACAAGAGTCCTTTCGTATGCAGACTTGAACTTGATCCCTTTATATTCACTTCCTTATTTTACCCCTGCCTTCCTCTGCCCCTTGAGCCCCAAGTCTGGGAATACATTCATCTTGTCTCTGATACAAATAATTGTTAATGTTTTTTGAGCACTTGCTATGTGCCAGGCATTGGGATAGGAATTTTATATATACTGATCTTAATTCTGCCAACAGTCCTCTGCTGGTTAGGTAATATTATTGAGCCCATGTTATAGGGGAGGAAATTGAAGCTCAGAAGGATATATAACTTGCCCAAGATCACACAGCTAAAAGGGGTAATGTCCAGGCTTCAGCATAAGTCTGACTCTTGAGCCTATGTTCTTAACCACGGAGGTATACAGCCAACCAAATTCCTCAGTAGCAACTCCTCTTTATTGTAAAATTTGGGTAAATACTGGTTTTGGGTTTCTCTGTCCCTTCTGTTTCTTTTTTTTTATGTTTTAAATTTTATTTATTTTTGTCCCTTCTGTTTTTCATTTTTTCCCCTGCCTTCCTGTGGGTTTCTTGAACATTTTTTAGAATTCCACTTCATCTGCAGTAGTCCCCCGTACCTGTGGTTTCCCTTTTTGTGGTTTCAGTTACCTGTGGTCAACCACAGTTAGGAGCAGATGATTCTGACATGTCAGAAGGGCGGTAGTGGCCTCAGGCTGCATCACGATGCCTGTGTCCCTCCCTCCCTGTGCTTCCCATCCTCACTTAGGCACTTGGTCATTTCACACCATCACAAGAGTGAGTATAGTAAGAGAATTTGAGAGAGACCTCATTCAGACAACTTTGATTACAGCATATTGTTAATTGTTCTGTTTTGTTATTGGTCGTTGTTAATCTTTTACTGTGCCTGTAACTTATAAATGAAACTTTCTCATAGGTATGTTATGTACGGGAAAACAGTCTACATGGCATTCGATACTATTGGTGGGTCCAGGCATCCACTGGGGGGGTCTTAGTATCCCCCATGGATAAGAGAGAACTGTATAGTGTTTTTGAGGGTATTGGTATAACTTTTTGGTGGTTACTAGGTATTACATTGTGTACACCTAACTTACTATAGTCCACTGGTGTTGACATTTTACCAGTTCAAGTGAAGTGTAGAAACCGTACTTCCATTTACCCTTCTTTGTATATAATTGTCTTAAATATTTCTTCTATATACATTGAGACCCACATAAGACAGTGTTACAATTTTTGGTTCAAATGTCAAAACTAGAGGGAAAAAAATTGATCTTATTTACCTATATTTTTATTTTTTTTTTCATTGTTCTTTTTCCCTCATGTTCTAAGATTCCTTCTTTTATCATTTCCTTTCCATTTAGAGAACTTCTTTGAATCATCCTTTTAGGGTAGATCTTCTGGCCAAATATCTTGATTTACCTTTTTGTTCCCTGAAGGATATTTTTGCTGATAATAGAATTTGGGTTGGCAGCTCTTTTTCTCTCAGCACTTGAGTGTGCCACTTCCTTCCATGCTTTCTGGTGAGAAATCTGCTGTCACATGAATTTTTTGTGTGTTTGCCTGTTTGTATTGTTTGTTTCCATAGGTAAGATGTCCTTCCTCTCTTGCTGCTTTAAGGATTTTTTTTTTCTTTGTCTTTAGGTTTCAGAGGTTTGTCTCTGTATCTTGGAAGTGGATTTCTTTGAGCTCACCCTGTTTGACGTTTGCTCAGCTTCTTGAATCTGTAGGTTTCATATCTTTTGCCAAGTTTGGGAAAATTTCAGCCATTATTCCTTCAATACTTTGAAGCCCCGTTCTTTCTTCTCTTCTAGGACTCTGATGATGTGGATCTTAGATCTTTTATTATAGTCCCACAAGTCCCTGAGGTTCTGTTCATTTTTTTTAGTCTGTTTTTTCTCTTATTCCGATTGGATAACTATTATTCTGTTTTCCAGTTCACTGATTCTTTCCTCTTTTTTCTCCATTGGCTCCTGAACCCATCTGTTGGGTTTCTTATTTTAGTTGTGTGTTTCATTTCTAAAATTCAGGTCTTCTCTACATCTTTTATTTCTTTGCTGAGACTTTTTTTTTTTTCTCCTTTATTTCAGGCATGTTCATAATTGCTTATTGAAACATATTTATGATGACTGCATTAAAATCCTTGTCAGATAATTCTAACATCTATGTTATCTCACCGTTAGTATCTGTTGATTGTCTTTTCTCATTCAAGTTGAGATTTTTGTGTCCTTGGATTGATAGTCATTTTCAGTTGAAACTTGGGCTTTTTGGGTATCCTAAGACTGTAGGGCTTATTTAAATCTTATGTTTTAACTGGCCTCCTTTGAGAGGAGAGAAGAGAGGGCACTATCTTGTTAATTGCCAGATGGGTTAGAAGTCCAAGCTTCTTACTTGGCATCATTATGCTAGGTGCGGTGGGAAGTTCAGGCTCCCCCCTGGCCTCCTGGTCTGATACCATGCTGGTCGGGAAGGATAGGAGTACCTTGTTCCTGTTCTCCATGTGGCCTCCACTAACACTCAGTGGGAGTCCTTATTACAGGCTGATGGCTATGGAAATCTGGCTGCCCCCTGAGCTTTCTCTGACACCAGTGCGGTGAGTGGAGAAGGGTACCTTGCTGTAACTAGGCAAGGGTGGAGGTCTAGATTCTATTTAGATTTTGTTGACTGGGATGGAGGTGGGGCTGCAGTTTTTTTCACGGTGGTTGCTGGAAGAGTCATTATTGCCTAAAAGTTTTCTGTCTCTCTGTGCTGTCCAGTCCTGGTCCTTTGGCTAGTGAAAGCAGGCTCTTCTTGAGGCTTTATTTGTGTGAGTGAGCCCGTTGGTGTTACTGGGCTGTTGGCTTCTCCATCACTCAGTCTGGGATATATAAGGCAAAAAAGAAAATCCAAAGAACTTTCTATTGTGTCATTCCTCATATCCTGTAGTCTCTAGCCAATCAGTCTTTGCTCTGCCCTTCAGTCTTTTTTTTTTAAATAAAGCTTTTATTTATTTATTTGAGAGAGGTTGAGAGAGCACAAGCAGGAACAGCAGCAGAGGCAGAGGGAGAGGGAGAAGCAGACTCCTCACTGAGCATGGAGCCCGACGCGGGGCTCAGTCCCAGGACCCCGGCATCGTGACCTGAGCCGAATGCAGATGCTTAACCGACTGAGCCACCCAGGCGCCCGCCGGTGTCTTTGTGTTTTATGTGTAATGTCCAGGGTGTTTAGCTATACTTAGCAGGAGGAATTAATTCCTTTCTTAGTTATTTTAAATAACAGATACTTATTTTTATTGTTTTGTTTACACTGTGATGGTGCTATTTCTGGGACAACCTCAGAAAGCTCAGATACTCCCTCACCTCCCACTCCCTAAATACTTGTTACATCAACATTTAAGGGCAAGCCGATGATAGACTCTTTTAAACGTTTGAGTCTTATTTCCTGGAGCCACTTGTTACTGTTATCTTGAACTACTACGAGCTTTTGTTACTACATACAAAAATGTCATGAAATACTCTTATTCATTGTTTAGTTGGAAAAGTTTGTGGATTTGAGTATATATATATAAAAAAAGGAATACTGTTGACTCCTGCAGCTAGGGCAGATGTGTGACTCAGACATTTTTATCTTTAAGAGCGGTACAATGTACTTAGAATTTGTGCTAAATTACTTTAACTTAGAATATGTGCTAAATTACCCACTTTTTTTTTTCCAGCTGGAGTCGAGATGGTCATAAGCTCGTGAGTGCTTCCACTGATAACATAGTGTCACAGTGGGATGTTCTTTCAGGCGACTGCGACCAGAGGTTTCGGTTCCCTTCACCCATCCTAAAAGTCCAGTACCATCCACGAGATCAGTATGTTTAATCTGTGCTGTTCTTTCCTGGGGCAGGGTCTCATTCTCTGTGGACTAGCTCCAGGCTCATGACAATTGCAGTTTAAGGTTGTGGGAGGCAAAAGCACACATCTCTTCAAATCTTCTACATAAAATAATGTTTCTGTCTAGGTTGTCTCTACTGAATAGATTTTAAGGAGAGTGTTATTGTATCATATAATTAAAAACTGGGCAGTATTCAGACTTTGGAAGTGGGCAGAGGTAGGAAGAAGAACAACTGGTCCTTGACCTGGAGCTTTCCACACCAACAC